AGTTTAACTCTGAGTGATTCGGCAAAATGTTTTAGCGATCTGATTTCCAGGCCCCCCAATTTGAAGGGGAGGGATAGACATTCAGATATACAACTGCTAATCGGGAGGGAAAGCCAATTTCTTACTGATTCCGCAACCATAGGATCCAGGTTGTTTCCAATCCACGTCAACGGCATGTCATACGTTCGAAGCTCAAAGGCCAACTGAGACGGAATATATCTTCGTAGTATTTGGAGTTTCCATTGGGGCGTTGTGTCCAACTCGTTGACGACTGACAGCATGTTTTTCAGCTTTTTAATCAGTAATTCTTTTGCCTTCGAGTTGTTTCCTTTAAAATCATAAATTTTGCCGAGGTATTCAAAATGACCGTTCATATCGATATGAGGGATTTGTTTGTTATCAATGGTCAGCCTCGGCGAAAATTGTTCATAGCCCCCGTTCTTCTTCCTCATACCAAACGAGCAACACTTATCAATCCTCATATTCATGCCGGTAGCTTTACACCAAGCTTGGTTCAAGTCGATTAATTTTTGAGCACCATCTGTGCTGTTGGCGATGATCGCTGTGTCATCCGCAAATTGAAGCCAAGCATTGGTTTTTAAGTTGGCCGTCGGTCCCCAAATATAACCGCATTGTTGATATTCTGTCTTTTCGATCAACTTCATCAATGGGTTAAAACACATGTTGAAGATTAATGGGGAGACGGGATCACCTTGCAGAACACCACGTCTAACCGGGATAGGAGGAGTAAGGTTGTCGCATCCAGAAACAGATATTGTGTAGTCGGCATATATTGCTTTGATTAAGTTGCTTATTTGGGAAGGGATGTGATGGTAATCTAGGGTTGATGAGATTATGTTGTGGCTGACTTCGCCAAATGCGTTTCGAAGATCCAAAAGAGTGACAATGACAGTTCGTTGATGTCTCTTTGCATCATTGAGCATGTGAGTTAGGAGTTGGGTATGCTCGGTCAAGCCATCAACTTTTGGATAAAAACCTTTTTGTATGTTTTTGTTTATTAATGAATTAGATTCGAGAAATTTATAGATTCGATTGTTGATAGATGTTGAAAGTATTTTGTATAGAGTAGGTTGCAAGGTGATTGGACGAAAATTAGCTGGATCATTTGCGTCACCTTTTTTATGAATAAGTATTGTAAATCCCTTTTTCCAGCAAGAGGGGATTTTAGAAGATGACCAACATTGAGCTATTAGTTGTTGTAGAATGGTTCGAAGAATTGGGCATCTTTTGAAAGGTATTATTGATATTTGGTCCAAGGGACACGGAGAAGATTTTGCTTTGCATTTGTAAACAATTGATGATATTTCATGATAAGAAGGCGGACTGGTGTTGCAGGGTGTTGTGGGCTTTGATGTACTAGGAACCCAATTTGGGAGTTGATATTTTTTGGAATTGTCGTCGCTTAAGGCGGAGGAAAAATAGTTTTTGCAGTCGTCGACACTGAACAACGGACCTTGACTTTTTGATTGGGTAAATAACCTTTTACAGAACCACCAAAAGCGACGTTTTAATTGATTTGTTGTGTCAGGTGTCTTAGTTGTTGCTAATTTTCTTGACGATAATTTTGATCTCAATGTTTTGCTTATTGAGCTAATTTGAACGTCAAAACGGTGGTTGTTGTGGCCCAACGATTTAAGCTGTTTTAATTCTTTTTTCAATGTTTTAATGGATTTATTTTTGTTGTCGTTTAAACTTGTTTGCGACTTGATGGTACCATAGTTTGCAGCAAAGTAGTTGTAGATCATTGTTTGAAACGCTAATGTAAACTCGTCGATGTTGTAGTACGCTGGTAGCGACTTTTGGTGAAGTTGAAAATATGCATTGGCTTCTGACCATTGAGCAGGGGTTCTGGGCAGTTTGACCCCTGGGAGAGGTATTTCAGTTTTTTCAACATTTGATGGTGACGAGGATACTGGTTGTTGGACGTGCGGCGATATGGATGATTCAGTTACTTTGGAAGTATTAGATAATATGAGAGTTTTATGAAGTTTACACGAGCGATGGTGCATGATGAGGCCTTTCCTGCCTTTACAGTATTTACCGCAGCAACAAGCAATAAAATTGATGTTGGGTGCTGATGACGCTGACTGTGGACCATGGCTCGGCTGTTGGAATGGTTGTTGAACCTGTGTCGATGATGATGGTGAGCTTGCTCTGTTGTTGTCTTCGACTGGCGCATTTGACGAATGGAGATAATGATTGAGTGCTGAAGCTGAAGGCGATGGCGGTAGACTGTGGCTTGGTTGAAGCTGGTTGGACTGACGTTGAACTTGTGGTGGTGGTGGAGGCGGGTCAGCTTCCGAGTTGCTTTCATTTGAATTGTTTGACGATTTAAGGTTTTGGTGAACTTTACATGAACGTTGGTGTAATTTGAGACCTCCTTTATTTTTACATTTTTTACCGCAACAGCAAAATATTGAATTATTATTATCCATATTAATTGGCAAATTATTTAGTAAATTTGAATTAAAATTGTTAGACGAATTATTATCTACGTTAAAATTTCCATTTGAACGGACACTGTTAGAATTAAAGTTTACAGTACTTTTTGTACAGCGCCAGGAGTGTCTGTTAACGTTAACAAACGACATGTTGCAATACGGGCATTTACTTGCATTTATTGTATAAATAAAGTTTATTAATAAAATTAAAATAAAATAGAAAACATTATAAAATTTAAGTTGTAAAAGTACCGCCATATTTCACGCAATTCTTTAAACCAAGATAACCAAATTTAAACTGATTTATTCGAATTAAAAACTGATATTACGTATAAAAACCAGCGAGTTGAACAAATCGGCCAACTCTCGTGGCGACCAATACATAATACATAATAATAATAATAACAACAATAATAATAATAACAATAATAATAATAATGTAAGCTCTTTTATTATCCAAAAGACGAAAAAGAAAAATAACATAAAATCGAAATAATCGAATAAATTGTCGTAAATGTTGTTTTTTTTAAATAAAATAAAATAAATGAAATAAAATGAAATATTATTAAAATATAATCAATTTTTTAATCCGCTCATACTCATTGACGATGCCAAGTGTGCGTTAGAGGTATATTCGAATACCATTACACTTCACATTGTTTTTTTCAAAGTATATTGAATAAGACGAGCTAAGAGCAATGGTTGTTAATTTAAAATTAAAATTAATTGGCCATGAAAATTTAAATAATGGCAAGTTGAATTTATTGCACAACCCAATCGGCGATATTTCAAATGAATTCGTTATTATAAAACAGTTAGAATATTTATTGTTTAAATATGCATGTAAATTAATGTATTTTTGACGTTTATATTGTTTAGATGAAAGCAAATTAGTTACATGGCATAGCGTCAGTTCCAATATTTAAATCTTGTTTCCTCGCAGAATGTCTGGACGTAGCGTGTTGAATAGATGTGACGTTGGTCGTATGCCTTCCATCTCCAAGTCAGCGAACAAGCAGTCGTTAGGAACCTGTAGCTTCAACTCATCTATGATCAACGCTAGTATTTTATTGTGTCTGTCTGTGTATCTTTTCAGAGCTGAAGCTGAACCACAATGGGATACGACGTGCTTATTTGTTTGACAAACGTTACAAAGTGGGCACAATGGCGTAGTCGTCTTACCCCATTTAAACAGATTTGAATTTGTTGGAAGTTGTTGAATAATGTATTTCCTTGCAAATCTGTAGAGTACCTCAGACATGTTGTCAACAGTTTTCGACCAACATGTTATTTTTGTAGGAGTAATGAGTTTGCCAATTGACCTGAGCACCGTACCTTGAGAATGAAGTTCGTTGATGTGGTTAAGACATGTCTTTACTCGGTTTTCATTCAGGAGCTTGAGAGACTGTCTCAATGAGCCTGTTTCAGTCAGAAGAGGTTTCGCGCCATAAGCATTGGATTTCTTCAAATAGCTGCGAACCTTCATTTTTGTTTTTTTCTGCAGCGTTTCTTAGTAACATAATGTTGTTACCACCGAGTTTCGTAGGCAACGATAACACTTGCGATACACATCCACTGATCGGCATAGCGAGCCAATCTCCAACTTTACTTACAATCAGGTTGTCTAAGTTGAACGATATCCAGGTTGGCAAGAAATTGTAGGTACGAATCTCAAACTTGAATTTGCGTTGGAATGAAATAGCGTAATATTTTGAGTTTTTGTTGTGGTTTGATGTCCAGGTCAGAGGTGGTCTCAGCAATTTGGTCACCTTTACGATAACTTCTTTTTTGACCCTTGTGTCTTTGCTTTCGAAGTCATACAATTTACCTAAGTAGATAAAACTGTCTCCAATTTCAATGTTGGGAATGACTTCATCATTAATTGTCAGTCTTGGAGTGAACTGCTCATAAGCCCCATCTTTTTTTCTCATGCTAAATGAGTTACATTTATCTATTTTCATTTTCATGTTTGACCAATTGCACCATGCATAGTTCAAATCGATTAGTTTCTGGATGCCTTCTGAACTGTGTGCAATATTCGCTGAGTCGTCAGCACATTTAGCCCGGAAGTTGGGCCCAAAAATAACCGCAACTAGTGTACTCTTAAGTTTCAAGGGATTGAAAAATAGATTAAAGAGTAACGAAGAGCACGGATCACTCTGGAGGAGACCTTTCTCGATGAAAGGATAATATCGAGTGGAGAAAATGACTTACCTCACCGATGGCATTTTTTAGGTCCAGCAGGGCAACTATGGTGTCCGTTGATGTGTCCTGGCATTTTTTAATAGGTGGGTTAGCATCTGAGTGTGCTCCGCCAGGCCATCAACTTTTGGATAGAATCTTTTTTGGATGTTTGTATTTATAAATTTATTTTGTTGAAGAAAATGTTGTAATCTATTTTTTTTATTAATGTAGTCAGAACTTTGTATAGAACGGGTTGCAGCGTAATAGGCCTAAAATTTGATTGAATTTTAGAAAATTAAGAAAATTAAGGTTATAGTGGGGGATTTTAATTTTCCAAATATTGATTGGGAAAATATGATGACAACAAGAAATGTTAGATCGGTGGAACAAAAATTCTTAAATTTTGTGCGAGACTCTTTTCTATCCCAACTTATAAGAAACCGACTAGATTTAGGAATAAATCTGCTAAAAATTATTTAGACATGGTGTTTGTTGAAGATACAAATTTAATTCATAATATAGATTTCAAGAGCCCTGTTGTTAAGAGCGACGATGTTTTAATAAATTTTTGGATTAATAATAAAGCTTTAGTTAAACCGGGTAAGCAAAATAAATTTAACTTTAATAAGGCAAATTATTCAAAAATGAACTGTTATGTTAACAAATATTTGTATGACTATAATTATGATAGTTTTTTGTGTTGCAATATGATTGACCAGGATTTTGTTGATTGTGTGTGGAAACATTTTTTGGATGTTATTGTAAGTTCTATGAGGCTGTATATTCCAGTTGGTGTTAATAGGAGTCTTGGTATAAAAGTCAAATTCCCAATTGATTTGTTGGATAATATTAAGGAGAGGAATAGAGTGTGGAGGAGATATTTAAAAACAAATAACAACAATTTTTTGTATAAAACATAAAACTTTGTGGAAATCCATTAAAAGCAAAATATTAAAATTCAAAATAAACAACATGTTATTGTTGTCAAGTAAAATCAAATCAAATCCTAAAGTAATTTGGAATCACGTACGTAAACTAGATAATATTAAAGGTAATCTTGACTGTTTGGTCGATATAGATGATGAAGGTAATGAAACTACTTTGGTTGATGATGTTGATAAGGTTATTGCTCTGTCTTCATTTTTGCTAGCGTTTATAGCAACGGGGATGGTGTTCAGTATGATGTTGTAATAAATAAATATGGTATTAAATAAATGGTAGAATTACAAATTTTAAGCCATTCAGTTTACAATAAATTAGTTTCATTGAATAAATTTAAATCTGCAGGCCCTGATGGCTTATTTTCACGTGTACTTGTAGATTGTGCCGGTTCAGTGTGTGAATATCTAAATTTTTTATTTAAAATTTCTTTAAATTCTGGGTTTTTACCAAGTGATTGGAAATTAAGTTATGTCGTTCCAACTTTTTAACTTTTTGTGTTAAAAAATATTGGCCGGTATCACTAAGTTGTATCTCATGTAAAGTCTTAGAACATTTTGTTAAAAAAGCACTGTTGGTGCATTTTAACGATAATATATTGTTTAGTTCATATCAATATGGTTTCATGAAGGGTAGATCTACGACTTTGCAGTTGTTCAAAATATTGGATAATTGGTCGTATGATGGTGGACAATGGGAAGTAGGTGGATGTTATTTACACGGACGTTGAGAAGGCTTTTGATAAGATGTCCCATACAAAATTGTTACAAAAATTAGTTCTATACAGAGTTGATGATAAAATAATCAATTGGATTAGAGAGTATTTGAAGAATAAATAAAAAATTTTCTGTTGTGGTTAATGATGTTCGATCGGATTGGCGTTGTGTGCAAAGTGAGGTGCCTCAAGGGAGCGTGTTGGGGCCAATTTTTTATCATTTACATTGATGATTTGTTTGATGTTTGTGCTGATAGTAAAGGTGTTCGATTGTTTTTGTTTGCAGATGACGCAAAATTGTTCAAACGAATCAAATCTCATGATGATGTCAGAATTACACAGAATGTTTTGGATTTGATTGTCAAATGGTGTGAGAGGAATGATGTTTTGTTGAATGTGGAAAAATGTGTTAGCATGAGGTCTGGCAAGAATAATGATAAAAATTTGTATTGTATTAATAATTTAAATCTCGATTGTGTAAATAATTTCAGGGATCTGAGTGTTACATTTAATAATAATTTAAAATTTGATGATCTATTTTTACAGTTATAAAGAAGGGTTCAAATATGTTGGGCATGTTTCAGAGGCATTTTCAATATCTCAATAAAAGTTCTTTTTTGATTTTATGTAAAACAACGGTAAGGTCGGTTCTAGAATATGCGGTTCCAGTGTGGTCGCCGTGGGAGGTAGAGATGGTAGAGCATATTGAAAGGGTTCAAAAAAGAGCAACAAAAATGATAAGGGAATGCAGAAAACTATGATGATAGGCTTAGATATTTGGGGTTGTCAACGTTGAAGTACCAAAGAGTTAGAGAAGATCTGATTTTGTTGTTTAAAAAATTTCTTGACCCGAATGATCAGGATTGTTATTCTGAAATGTCTTTGTACTTAAATGAGAGAACAAGAAGACATGATAAAAAACTTAGGAATATCGGGTTCAAAGGTAACTTGCAAAAGCATTTTACTTGTCGTATCATTCCTGTGTGGAATAAATTACCTGCAAATATAGTGAACCGTGCCACTGTTGACAGATTTAAAATTCCTTGGAGGATTATTGGAAGAACGAAAGTTTTAAATACAACTGGAGAGCGGAAGCGCCTAGATAAACATGCAATCCTCTGGAATGTATTCGTGGGTGATGTGCAGATGTGTGTGTAGCAATGTGTATGTGCTTATATGCTTTGCGTTGATGTATTCATTGATTTAGTTATATGTGTAATGATAACGATATATATGATATACATTCTATGTTAGGTGCACTTGTGTGGCTAGAGGTGGTGAGAATTGGTAGTGTCGCTTCCGACATGATACGCACCGGTCAATTGTGAAGTTGTTGTTAATTTGGTGGGTGTGTTTGTTCTGTTTTATTTGTTTATTTTCTGAACTTGAGACTTCATTATGTTAATATTAGGTAAGAGAATGACCGTCTATAATTTTAAGATTTTGGCATAGATTTTCAACACCGGTAGGTGTTAAATTAACTAATTTTGAACTAACTACATTTATTTCTAATAGTTTTCAGGGTCGACAAGGATGGTGTAGCTACGAGGCTTGTCTGCAGTGGACAATGACGTGAAGTTGGATTGGTGATGACCGGGATGAAGTGACTGATGGTGTGATGGGTAAATTGGTGGCACCGGCTATGAGGACTATACGTTGGATTGATAAACAGATACATATTGCATCTATATATATTCGATTATTTTGTTATCGATATGGTACCGTAGTTTATTTTTATTGTTGTTATTATTATTGTGTTTATTTATTTATTTTTTTAATTTTTTTTATTTATTTTTTAATTTTTTAATACAAGTTCATATTATTATTGTTTTTTGGACAATTAAATTATTATTCCATATTAGAAGATATGAGCACATGGATTTTAATCGACTCATTATCTAAATGTCATGTTATATATATATATTTTTTTTATTATTCTTTAAAAATCAGGATCTGACAGACGCAGAAACTGTAACAACATGCAAGGCAGTGAAACAAAATTAAACAAATAAGTGAGAAAATAAATACAAAAAGTGAGGAAGAGAAATGATAAAACATGAAAAATAAAATATGTTAGAATAAAATAAATAATAATAATAAGACAAATAAAAAAAAAGTAATTGACGATGGAATATAAAATGAAGTAACGGCAAATTGATAGACTAGATGATGACTTAGTGAGGTGATCGATAAATAAAGGCTAGGCCTGTGCTGTGTGTGAAAAAGTTTAATGAGTATTGATATATTTGATGACTTATTAATAGACTAAATGATGACTTAGTGAGTTAGTGAGGTGATCGGTAAAAGTGTGGTGATCAATGAGTAAAAACTAGTTCAGTAATGATGAAGTTTTCTTAAGTGCTAATATGTTTGTGGTGTCTTGTGATGAAGGTCTTTTCCTGGTATGTAGATTGGGCGACGACTTGATATTTCTGTTTGCGCTGACGAAGGTTGTGTGTTGCAGTTTTGATTGGTGGTAGTAGAGGATGGATGACGTGGTTGTTATTAGTTTCTATTTTCTTGAACAGTCTTGAATCGAGTGTGTTGAATATCTGAGTGATGGTAGGATATGATGCAGGTAGGTATATATATATATATATATATATATATATATATATATATATATATATATATATATATATATATACATATCGACAGGCTACTGACGAGTCTCGTGAGAGACGATACGTACGTCTGGCCTATGGCGGGTAATGGTTTACCAATAATATATATATATATATATATATAGAGAGAGAGAGAGATCTATATATAGATCTACAGTTTTTTTTATTATTCTTTAAAAATCTGGATCTGACAAACGAAGAAACTGTTACAGCATGCAAGGCAGTAGTATAAAATTAAACGATGAAGTAAATAAATAAAAAACGGAGAAAGAAAAATGTTTAAACATGAAAAGTAAAATAAAATAGAACAAAATAAGTAATAATAAAATAAAATAAAATAAATTGACAATAAAATGAAGTGATGGCATAAAAAGGCAAATTAATAGACCAGATGATGATAGTGAGTTAGTGAGGTGATCAATAATTAAATAAAAACTAGTTGTGTGAATGATGAAGTTTTATTGAGTGTGAATATGTTTGAGGTATCTTGTGATGAAGGACTTTTCCTGATATGTAGATTGGGTGGCGACTTGATAGTTATGCTTGCGTTGACGAAGGTTGTGTGTTGTAGTTTTAATTGGTGGTAATAGAGGATGAAGGACGAGGTTGTTGTTATTTTCTACTTTCTTGAACAGTCTTGAGTCGAGTGGGTTGAATATATGAGTGACGGTAGGACATGCAGGTAGATAGTTAAAGCGGATTAGTTTTTTTGATGAAAGATTGTAGTTGTTGATGTGTAGTAAAACCAAACCAGGACGGAGCTGCATATTTGATGCGTGAGATTATGAGTGATTCAGTGATGTCGAATAATAATTTGATGCCTCTGAGACTATTTGAGCGGAGTGTTTTGAGTGCGTGAAATGTTTAAAAGTTCTTTGTGATGATGTGATTGATATGAGGTGCTATATTAAGTGTGGAAGTAAAGTGATGTTTAATATTTTTAATTGACTAGTGCGAGTGATTGATGGGTGTTCTGAAGATAATGTTATTTTCTTACGACTATTGTGAATGATGAGTTTGATTGATTTATTGAGATTAAGTGACAGATTGCATCGTTTTGACCATGTAGTTAATGAGTCGAGTTCTGATTGGATGGTGTTTGAGTTATATAATGAGATGATAAGGTTGGTATCGTCAGCGAAGTTGATAATGTGATTAGAGCTATGAACAGTTTTGAGAGTAGAAGCATTGATAATTAAGATTGATGGTCCAAGGACAGAATTTTGAACAACGCTAGAATTAATAGGTATAGTAGATGAAAGAGTAGAACTTAAGAGTAGAATGACTCCTATTAGAAAGAAAATTTATTATAATATTGTAAATGTTGTTAGGTAGAAGAAGAGAGGCTAACACATTTGAAACATAGGTGAGAAGTGATTGAGAGTGTCAAAAGCTATGGAAAGTCGAGAGCAATAAGATGAACATTATTATTTTTAAGGAAAGATGACATTGTAGAAGTAAGAGAGATGATGGCGGATGTAGATGAACTTGTGGGGCAAAATGCAAACTGATCTTGTAATAGTGGTTTGACGGATGGATGGTTGAAACACGTATAGATGAATGACCTAACGATGAATTTTTCTAGAATACTTGAAAGTATGGGGGTGATAGATATTTGGCGATAATCTATTTAAGATGATGGCTATTTTGTTTTAGGAATTGGATGAATTGAGCTGGATTTCCATTGTGATGAGATGAATGAATGCATTAAGCAGTGATTGTAGAGTGAACTTTAGGTGCCGGAGATGAATGGAGCAATGATTTGTAGAAACCATGCTGGTAGACCGTCTGGACCTGTGCCGGATGGACAGGTCATCGTTAGTATGTGCATGACGGAGTATGAGATAAACTGTTGATGTTGGTGACGACTAATGATTGTTTTTGCTTTTGTTGGTGGAGTTTTGTAGAACGGGTCGGTTGACATGGAAGCAAATTGGGTGTTGAGTGTGTTGGCATCAATTTGCTGTGAGGTTGACGTTTTGAAGGATTTGTCAGAGCCTCTGATCTTGTTGACTTGGTCCCACATGACTTTACTTCCACGCTTACTATTAGTGAAAGTTTTTGAGTTGAAGTTGATGATGAGTTTGCTGATGTATTTGGTGATCGCTGCGGCTTTGAGGATGGATTCTGATCTCATGAATTTATTTTTTGGTGAAGTAGATATTTGATGTATGGGCTGATGAATGGAGGGTCTGATTATCTGATCGTGATGTTTGATGTTGGGTAGTACGTGTTGTAAGTTGAGTTGATGATTTTATAAAATTTATCAAAACAGTGTTGCGAAAAATTGTCAATAAAGTTAGTTATGAACGTATTATTGTTAATATTGTTATTATTATAATCACTGGCATCATTTTTAATATTATTATTATTGTTACAAGTATTATAACTATTAGTAGAGTTTATTAATTTGTTCCAATACTGTTTACGTTATTTAGAGAAGAGTTCTTTTTTTCCTCTTAAAGTATTACGCCATTCATTCTTATATCTAATCATGATTTGATCTATAATGTCTTTCCAACTTTCGACAACGCCGTTTGATTGTTAGACATTCTTCATCAAACCATGCTGCTGATACATCAACTCTAAAACTAGTTTCATGCAACCTAATCGACAATGATTTTAAGCTCACTGTTAAAACAAGTTAAATTCCTTTTCGACATCCTTCGACATCCTTGCTTTTACATGGCTTTGAAAAGGGAGATTCTGCCATAAATTTGACAAACTTTTTCTCATCAATTCTCTTCCATGATCTGATCAATTTTTTTGTTTTTACAGAAACAGTTTTTATCATTGGCATAGTCGCATGAATCAAACCATGGTCCGAAAGAACACCGCTCGGAAAAATCCCCCAAACCTGAACCGAAAACCCCAGGGAGCTCACATGTAAATCAAGAGTTTCTCCAAAATTATGTATTGACCCATTAACATGATTTACCATTTGAAACATATTAAATACCTCCAGGAGACCAATGGCATAAACATCATCTGTTCTTTCAATGTGTATATTAAAGTCACCAGTCAACAAAATACGCGTAGTCAAAATTGAAATATGCTCCATCATGGAAACCAATTCCTGGAACAACATCGTTTTTACTCAAGTAATACTTCACGAACTGCATCACTTTTTGACAGAATGGATCTTATATTTAACAGTCCCAGCAACATCTGCGGCTTTATACTTTAATTGATTTGCATACTTTTTACATTCATTACTATAACTAACTTCATCATTAACATTTCAGTTCTCATCACTACCACCATTATCATCAACACCATGATTACCACTGTCATTTCCATCATAATTACTTTGATTATAATTTCCATAATTATTGCTACCCATAAGACCTTCATTATCGTCACAAAAGCATTTGAATTTACCTTTCTTGACTATGGCCCTTGAAGCTCCATCATTACAACCACCACCACCTGCATCTTGACCATTCTTACAACCAACCATTATCACTAACATCGTCATCACCGCTGTTTCTGCTGTTTTTGCAACCACCATCACCAACATCATTAACACCACCATCCCTGATATATTTGCCATTATAACCTTCATCCCAGCCATAATTACAACCAGCCATGCTTCTAATACCACAAACATCCTCATCACCAAAATCATCATCACAATCCTTGCAACCATAAGCCTCATTACCTATACAACCACTCTGACAATTTATAAAATCGTTATAGTGTCCACAACCCATACTAGTTATTTTGAGACCAAACATGTTATTCATCTTTTTAAAAACAAATTTTGGTAGGAGCTTCATATTCTCAAATCCATGCATAATATCTCTTACGCTACACCATAGAAAATTCAAAACATCTTTTTTATTCTTATTATTTTTAAATTTCTTGGTCCATCTCTCACTCTGTACATAAAATCCTCTTTTTCAGCAGCTTCTTTCTCTTTCGCAGTTTCTATCAGCTTTTTTACATTCAGCTCGTTGCTCTCTTGTCAAGTCATGACTAACGCTGATTCTTTTCAAATCTTCATCCAACTTTTTCAGATTGGACAAGTTTTCCATAACTAAATTTTTTAAGACTTTAGACTTCAGCTGAACTAACAATGGCCTAATTTTATCAGATCTCTTGCCCAGTCTATAATGTTTTATAATACTTGATTTATCAACTTTATCATCGATTGTTGTCTGTAAAATACGGACGATTCTTCCATCATCTTGTCGTTTATTATCATTGAGATTCTGGTCATTGCCTTCCTTTAATTTAAAAATTATTATGTTGCAGAATCTTTCTTCTGCTTCTCGATGGGTTTTATAGCATCTTTTGTTACCAAGAGTTTATTCTTTAACGCTTGTATGCCATCATTTATATTCACCATTTTGTCGTTAACTTTAACAACGTTGTTAACAACAACATCCTTCAAGGCATCAGAATATGACCTTTTCAAGTTTTCTTGAAATAAATTAATTTTACCAACAAGATCTTCATTATTTTTATCATTTTTTCAACTCACCAGTAAATGACTTACAGAATATGACTTTTTCAAATCCTCTTTGAATGCCTTCATTTTATTCCCGAGGTCATTTTTTGTACAGCTATGTTCTTTAACGCATCGACAAGTGACTTACTGAGTTATCTTGAAGAAGACTCATTTTGCCATCAAGATCACAATTAGTCGTTCTCCCTTCTATTACCATGATATCTTTTATCTGAGCGTTGATTAAGTTGTTGGATTCCTGAATTTTCCTAATATCCTCAGCTATATCATTCAGTCTCCTGCAGGATTTAACAGCCTCAACTGACTCCTACACTTGTCACAATAACATAGAAATTCAGAAGCATTCTGAAATTCTTTAAACGATGACTCAGAAATTCCAACAGACTTACAGTGTGCAACTGACTCACAAAAATTACAATGCAAGATATCTTTAGCAGCAACTTTACTATTACAAACTAAACAATTATCAGACATTGTCACGGTAAATATTCAATTGGAATTATAAACTTTATTAATCAGCAGTAAGTTAGTATACAAATAAACGTTTTTTTGCCTTGTGGTTGCAAGGATTAAAAAAAGATTTTTTGATTATTAATTAATTTATTTATTTGGGAGGCCATAAAACAGACTGTTACAATAGTCCATCCACGAGTGAATGGATGCATAGCCCGAAAGTTCTGACTCACATGATTAAATTTTATTCCGTCAACAATAATTTTTGTTGCTCTATTCTGTATTGACTGAAGCACTTGATTTATTTAATTGATTCATTTGGGAGGCCATAAAAAAGACTGTTACACTAGTAGTGAATGAATGCATGAACTAATGTCTGCATGGCTGATCTATTTAAATAGTAGGACTATTTATGATTGTTATTTTTAATATTATCAAAATTAATAGTATTATTATTAAAAATTGCTGGTAGAGTTTTATTGTTGGTGGTGGTGATGATAAAGTCAAAGATATTATTAAAGTTGATGTTGTTGAGATGTTGAAGGCAAGCACTACTCTGTGAAAGATGACGACGGCGAATTGAGATGACTCTATGTTGAGTTAGTTAGTTAAGGTGGAGGAGCAGCAACCACCCCAAGATGATGTGTTGAAACGTGTGTCCAGGCTTACATTAATCCCATATATTCTGTCAAGGTTGTGACCTTGGTGGGAGGGACCCCAGAATATAGGGTGCAGACCTGTTTGGAGAATGTAATGATGGTCGAGTTGCTTGAAGTCACCCCCAATGATGAGTTTTGATTCGCTCCCCAACGCAGTGTTAGAGAGTTTATCGATGTAACCCATCAAGGTGGAGACTTCGTATGATGGATGATTTGGTGGATGATAGATAGCGCAGATGAAGTATGGTTCACTGTCAATAGTACACTTGAGACAAAGGGTTTCCAGTGCATTATTGATAGAATGAGGCAAAACGATGTGAATTTGAGATGAGATGGATAACTTCAAAGAGATGACAACGCCTCCCCCACGCTGCCTGCCAGGGTGGTCTTTTCAGAAGGGTGTGTAGCCACAGATTTATTAGTGTTTATCAATTTATATTTAAATTTTAAAATTTGTTGTAGTATATTTTTATCAACAAAATTAAGTCTGTACAAAATTGAAACTTTATTTCTACTAACAAACATTTTCATTTTATTAAAATTATTGCGGATAAATCTTTTTCGACGTTAAACCAAATAGAAATGCATCCAGATGATAAGGATAAAACTGCTTTTGTCGTAACAAAGGCATTTTTAGGTTCAAACGAATGCCGTTTGGGTTATGTAACGCTGGTGCTACTTTTCAGCGCTTGATGGATATAGTGCTTTCGGACTTGTGCCCGAATACATGTTTGGCATATATTGATGATATAATTGTATATTCTAATAATTTGCAGAATCATTTTTTTAGGTTAAAACAAGTTTTTAGCAGGTTGAGAAACACAGAACTGAAAGTCAAGATAGAGAAATGTCGATTTCTCAAGGAAGCCGTTACATTCTTGGGGCATATTATCTCTTCGAAAGGAATAGCAACAAATCCGTCAAAAACGGAGGCTGTTCGGGACAGGCTCATACCAACTTCTTTGACAGATGTCTGAGGATTTTTAGATTTAGCTGGATATTATCAACGTTTTCTTCATAGATTTTCACAATTGGCAAAACCGTTCAGCTTTCTCCTAAGGGACAAACAAAAATTCAGCTGGGGATTGGAGCAGCAAAAAGCTTTCAAAAATTTGAAGTCTGCGTTGACAACCGCACCGGTTTTAGCTATGCCACAAGACGATGGATCTTTTGTTCTAGACACGGATGCTTCTCAGCAAACTATTGGAGTGGTATTGTCGCAGTTGCAGGATGGCAAAAAAAAGGTAACTGCGTATGCTAGTCGGACCCTGAGTCGAGCTGAAGAAAATTATTGCACTACGCGAAAAGAGTTGTTAGCAGTCGTTTATTTTTTAAAATACTCCAAGCAATATTTGTTGGGTGGACATTTTACCATCAGAACAATCATGCACCGCTGACATGGTTGAGAAACACACCCGACACTATTGGTCAACAGGCAAGATGGTTAGAACAAATGGAGAAGTTTGATTTTAATATTATCCACAGGGCGGGTACGAAACATGGTAATGCAGATGTAAAACTGTGTAAAAAAGAGTGCTGCAAGCCAGAAACACGAGCGGTGAAACAGGTTAAAGAAGCACACAAATTTGTTGACCTGAGAGAGGGTCAATATGCGGATAAGACAATCCAAGTTTTTGTTAAGTGGCTGCAGGAAAATGTTGCCAAACCGCCCTGGGACGACATATCAAGGACCTATGGGACCGTCTAGTGATCAAAGACGGAGTCTTATGTAGACGATTCGAAATAACAGAGACTGGAGATATGGTTTGGCAGGCCTGTGTGCCTGCAAATATGATTAACTCTGTATTATTAATTGCCTATACAGGAATGACAGGGGGACATTTAGGAGTGAGTAAACTGAAAAAACCCGTTCAACGAAGGTTTTACTGGCCAACATGGAAAACTGACGTTGAGATGTTTGTCAAGACGTCTAAACCGTTTGTCGTCCACATAAATAAATTAAAACTGATTTGTTGATTAATTTCTGTTAATTTATTCTCATTTTTTTTAGGTAGGATGAAACAGTGCACCAAATGTGGGAGAAGGATGTTGACACGCAACCATAAGAGACATTTTGACAGGTGCACTGGAGCGGGAAACAGTGCATCAGATAGCCAGCTAGTGTCACTGGGACGGGCAATTCTGTATTTAGAAAATAATACACCGGAGAAGGCGGTCAGCCCTTTGAAATTATCTTTCCCGGATATTCCGTCAAGTGAATTGTGGAAAGGTTACATAGTTGCAAGGGCATCAACGAGTGAACTGGTCGCAGCATTGACCCCGAGTTTCTCACTTGAAAATTGTGCCGAGGAACCGACACAACGAAAAAGACGGGCAAACGAAGCCAGGCGGTGGGCGAACCGTTTTAAAACTTTCGAACTGCCCGATGAGGAAAAACAATCAAAACAGGTCAGAGAGGGGGCGGACCGAAGCGACCATAAAGCCCAACAAGAGAAATCACTATGGTCAGTGCCCATGTCAACCATAGAGGTCGCAGGCGAAAGTTTAGCCGACACACGATGTCCAGCTGCCAGACCATCGCTAGTGGACTGGATGTTGGAAGGCCAGTTCTACGAAGGCGAGACGCCTTTTCCTATAGACCAGGCGGTTTCGACTATCAGCACTCCAGAGTGGGCAAAGGAAGATAGTGACATACTGGTCTCGACAACAGGCACAGTTGCACCAACATGTAAAAAGGAAAATAAGAGGCCGTCCAGATGGGGCCCGGAATTAATGGCGATTAACATTTTCAACTTCAACAAAGAGCTTTGAAAGCAAACGTCGGGACGACGTTCGATGGGATGGGGAATAATGTGAAGTTTTTTTGGCGCGCATGTGGAATGAATGGCGCGCATGTGGGCAAGCTGGTCAAATTTCGTATGAATTGGTTTTGTGTGCAGGTTGGTAGAGTATGGTATTAATTAATTAGTGAATGTTGGTATGGTATGGCGAAAATATAGTGAGTATGTTTGAGAATGAATGTTTTCTCAGTTTGTTTAGTATATAAGCGTTTTGGACAATTGTTTTGGAGTTAGTTTGTTGAGCTAGTTTGTTGGATTAGTTTGTTGGATTAGTTTTTGGGTTAGTTTTTTAGTTAGTTTTTTTAATTAGTTTTTGAATTAGTTTTTGGTATTATTGTGGTTTATAATTGGTCGGTCGGTTCCTGGATGTTTGGTTGCTCTGGCGTTTATTGTTTTGGAATTTTGTTTATTGTTACGGCTGGTAAAAATAATTTTCGTTTATTAAGAATATTTTAGTTCTGTCGTTGACCTTAAAAACATTTAATTTAAAGAATATTATTAGTAAATATTATTTTGTCTGTTTTATTTTTGTTTATTAATAGAATTATTTCAGTTTGGTTTTGTTTGTCACTTTTAAAAACTAAAACATGTTTGAAAGATGTTTAATAGGGCTGGATTAACCGACCAGCAAGCAGGGCGCGATAATTCTTCCGCCCGGCCCATATTTTCCGTCCCGGAAACAAAGTGTTGTGAAGAAGCGAGTCCCGGCCAGAAGCGAGACTGCCTAGGCTGGCGGCGGCGGTTGTTGATATTCGAGCAAAGAAAAAATTTCGTCGTGCGGCATATATATGTTTCGACAGTGTATGTCATCATCAGAGCCTACGTTTAAATTATTAAATATGAATTGAATATTTAAAATTGTAAAATCAAGAAGAATAAACGAACCAAATTGGGAAAATATAAACGTAAAATGATTAAGGAAATTAAATTAAAATTAATGTAAAAAGTATACGAAATTTGAGTAAAGGTACTTAACTTAAAGGTACTTAAAATAAATTAAATGTTAAGATAACTGATAATAAAATATACAATATACAAAATATGTTAAATGAATTTCAAAAGTTAAATACTGGAAGTGAAGGTAGAAGTACGAATATCGATATTGCAAATTTGGAATGACAACGAAACGTGTGTGGAGTGGTGGGATGGTACGAGTGTATATGAATAAATATATTATGCTAATGTGTGAATAGGTGGAATAGTAATGTAAGTGATGTTAATTATCGATTGTAAATGAAGCGAGGCATGGATATTAATTATCACATAAGGTAGTGAGTGACACGACGACGTAGGATTTACGACGATTAGTGACAAACTGCGTATTGACAGGTTGGAGTTTGTCGATTGTGGAACGATATTTGTATCGTTGTGGTACCGTCACCTGCTGTGGATCGTTTCTGACGGGGAACGTCGGCGTCGAATCACTATATTGGGAGAATAGCTGGAGAGTGTGGTCGAATCTATTGGTTTGTTTGTTCATGGTCCATTTGGACTCAACACACTCAATCGCTATTAGCCATGAAATCCTCGACAGTAACACCAAAGTAATATACCAGAACAGCAACTACACGCATCTTAAAATTGCAGAAGCAGTTCTAATTGACATCAATAAACCAAAAATAAATATACAACAAAAAATGACAACCTCACTTCCAACCCGGCGCTTAACCAACAACGAAAACAAAGAAGTAATAAAAACTAGCATTGTAAATAGTGACAAAGAAGAATATGATGCTATCGATGAAGAAAAGGAGACCAAAGAAGATGACCAGCCAATAAAGAAACCTGACACCTAATTTCCATCTAAATTCACTTTGACAAAGTCAATCTCCATCTAAATTCATTTTGACAAAGTCAATATTTCCCTATATAAACAGCAGAGAGCACTGATGATGATTCATTCGGAATCGAAATATGGCCTTATTTGCAGCATGAATTCGGAAACTAAGTTTATTTTGAATTTTAATAAACTAAACGTTCACCAAAAAACTTTAGTGAGAAAAATTGGAAAAACGAACTACAAACATATTAACGCCAAACATTCGGTAGAATTTATAGAATATTGTAAAAATTATGGTCTATTACCAACATATATATTAGGGATGCACCGGATTCAGGTTTTTCAATCTCCATCTAAATTCATTTTGACAAAGTCAATATTTCCCTATATAAACAGCAGAGAGCACTGATGATGATTCATTCGGAATCGAAATATGGCCTTATTTGCAGCATGAATTCGGAAACTAAGTTTATTTTGAATTTTAATAAACTAAACGTTCACCAAAAAACTTTAGTGAGAAAAATTGGAAAAACGAACTACAAACATATTAACGCCAAACATTCGGTAGAATTTATAGAATATTGTAAAAATTATGGTCTATTACCAACATATATATTAGGGATGCACCGGATTCAGGTTTTTATAATTTATGCATAACCCATGTTATAGCATAAAGAAAATTGTCCAGATTACCTCACAATTGGTGATGTTGTTATTATGTGTCATGTATGCCTTTAGCTTAGCCTTTAACTTATTGACATAAAATTAATTGAATTCAATAAAAATTTTTTTTATTTATAACATTTTTAAAAGTTGATAGACGTTTAAATCCGGCCACCAAATCCGGATTTGAAAAAAAAGCCGGATTTTGGCCGGGGCCGGACTTCGGTGCATCCCTAATATATATATATATATATATATATATATATATATATATATATATATATATATATATATATATATATATATATATATATATATATATATATATATATATATATATATATATATATATATATATATATATATATATATATATATATATATATATATATATATATATATATATATATATATATATATATATATATATATATATATATATATATATTAGGAAGAAGACCAAGTTCTATACAGTTGTTCAAAAAATCCACCGACGATTCAGCATTAACAAGTTTTATGGTTGATTTTCTAATATTTTGAACTAGTTCTTTACAATTAAGTCTATTCAAAATGTTGAAATCCATTTTATAAACGGCCACGTAGCATGAACAATCGTAAATTTCAAATATTTTGTTTACTAATTTCAATGAACCTTTGCGTTTTTATTTCGTTACTTTTATTTTATTTTAATATATTAAAAAATACAACTAATTAACTATTAATAGAATTTATTTAAAATATATTGCACTGATGATGACTTTACGTCGAAATAGATCTATATGCATAATT